GAGAAAAGGTCCAGAACTTTCCCTGAATCTCAGAGTGAAATGGCTAAGAACCTTGACCTGGCCGATCTTGGGTGTTTTCTGGAGAAAAGGTCCAGAACTTTCCCTGAATCTCCTCAGAGTGAAACGGCTAAGAACTTTGACCTGGCCGATCTTGGGCAGTCCCAGTTCTGGCCCAGGGTGGGCCCTCCAGGGTCTGACCTGGCTTGTCTCCTCACTTCCCACTTGGCTCTGTGCCCCAGGGCAGGCCACTGGGTGCACTGTCCCTCCACCTGAGGAGTGTGCGTGTGTGGGACGAGGGTGTCCTCTCCCCTTACTCCAGAGGCTCTCACAGTCTGTCATCTCCCTCCAGTCCTTTCTCCCGGCCCTGCCGGGGAAAGCACTGGGTGGCCATCCTCTCCTGTTACAGGCCTCTCTGCAGAGGCGGTGCCTTATCAATTATTTATGGCCAAGCTTCTGTTTCTGTCTAGCAAGTGTGGAGGAGGGACTAGGGGTGCAGCCCTGGGTGAGTTTTTCTTTCCCTCCTCCCCCTCCTCCTCCTCCAGGGATAAGGTAGCATGTTTTTGCCTTCTTCCCTTGCATAAGCTTTGTCACTAGTACCTGTTGTACTAGTGATACACACACACACACACACACACACACACACACACACACACACCCTGCACAAGTACCAGAGGCCATTCAGTCAAAATGGCCCCACCATTGTTTGAGCAAAGAGGAGGGAGAATCGTGTCTGAGTCTGATATCCTTGCTGGGCGATGTGACCCCACATGGACATCTGGAAGGCCCCCAGGGCAGGGCCTGGGGTCATGGCCCATGGTGAGTAAGACACAAAAGAAGCTAAGGCCCAGGTCAGCCAGCCATCTTGGGTGACAGCAGCAGGTGGAGCAGAACAGAGATCCTGCAGTGAAAGGCCAGGAGGTGCTGCCATGCCAGGGTCTGGTATGATTTGGGGAAAGCTGTTGACTGGAGGCCAGGAGGACGACCCTCTGCCAGCACCCGCAGGCCACACATTAGATACAGTGGGTGCTGTGGCACATCCACCCCTCCCATAGAGGTTAACGCCATCCAGTGCCGGCTCTTCCAGAAACTGCTCTGGGCACTGGGCACTGGGCAGGCAGCGTGGGACAGGACAAAACATGAAGCCACCATCTACTGCACATTGGGTGGGGCAGGCAGGGTGAGAGAGAGACGAGCAAATTAGATAAGCAGATGGCAGAGTGTTAGGGAGAAAAAGTCAGTGGGGAAGAGGTTAAAATTTTAACTCAGTAATCAGGAAAGTATTCCCCCAACCCCCCTCAAGAAGGAGACATTTGGGAGAGAACATTCCAGAGCCCTAAGAGGTGCTCAGGGAAAGGCCAGGAATTCATCTTATGGCTGGAGGGAGGGCAGGGACGAGAGGGAGGGGATGGGGTCTGGAGGGGCCAGCATATGGTGCAGTGACCATTTTCACAGCCCTCCACCCCATACTGCATGGGAGACAAGCTGTAGGCGTAGGAGCTGGGGGTCTGGGGAGACTGGTGGGGAGAGGTGGCTGGATTCTGGGTGTGCTTTTGGCAATCGATCCAGCTGGGTTGGCCATCAGAGCTCTGCCCGCAGTAGCTTAATATCTGGGAAAGCAGACAGCTGAAGGCCCAGCGAAAGCCCCCAGAATGGTGTTTGGTGGAGCTGCCTGCTGAGGTCGGGCCTCTTATCTTCCTTTCCCTCCAGTGCCCACAAGGGGATCAAGCCCCGTGAAGCCACCAGGATGGAGGACGCAACAGATACCATGCGCGGCCTCATTATTGAACTCTCCAACCTGAAGTAAGAGGGGTGGATAGGACAGGCAGTGGGATGGGAAAACCAGTGTGACAGCAAGAAGGAGGCCCCCTACAGCCACCCAGACCTCCCATCAAAGGGCCTCCAAAAAGTGTCACTCCTCCTGGGCTCTCACCTATTACATCATAGATTCATCCTTTACAGACTTGTTAGGTTCTAGAGAGGGCCTGGGACAGTCAGTGGTCCACTCTGTAACAGGTTGATTCTGATTGTGCATGTGTGTCTGAGAGTGTGTGAGCCTCTGTGAGAATGTGCAAGCAGGAGTGTGGGTGTGTCCTGCTCTGCCTCATAGTCAAGCCAGCATTTTCTTGCAGCCGGCTGATCATGAATGCCCACCGGGACCTGGAAGCATTCAAGCGCCTCAACTACCGGAAGGCAAAGCCTGCAGGGAAAGCCCCCATGCCCTACACATCAAAGGGGGCTGGGGCTCTCCCTCGAGGGGAGCAACCCTGGCGGGATTTGTAGATGCTTCCAAATGGGGAAGCTGGGGGACTATGTGCAGGGCTTACCCCTCCCATGGATGTATGTTTTGTTCAAACCCTGGCCCCAGAAGTGCCTGATGTTCCTGCCACAGAGCTGTCAACAATCCCCCTGCAGACCCCGAAAAGCCTTCAGTCCCTGATGTTGCTCCTGGTATTTTGTTACCCCTGGTACTTTGTTACCCCCAAGATGCTCCAGCGGGTCCTAGTGGGCCCCAGAAACTGCCCTTTAGCCGACCTGGAAGTCAGCCTCCCTGGGAAACCCTGTAGGCCCCACTGGAGTCCACAGCAGCCCTCTGGAGTCTGTATGGGGAGGGAACCTGCTCCCTGAGAGGCTGAGGCTGCAGGGGGAAGTGGAGGCGGGCTGGGGCCCCAGGAGCAGGGCCCAGAGCCACCCAGATGTTTATCTGGGTTTGCAAATTTTGGCTCCTTAGCTGAGGTTATGGCAGGTTCAGAATTTGTTTCTTTCCTGGAGGAAAAAGGGCCCCCTTTGTTGGTTGTGCATTTGTCTCTCTGGATTTCCATTTTATTTATTTTGGGAAGAGCACTAATAAATGATTCCCTAGCAAGGCCCCGGACCTGCTGTTTGAAGGTTGAAGCCTTTGGGTTCCTTGCTACTCGGCCCACAAACCTAACTGCCTCTTTCCCCTTTTGCTTCTCATCCTCCCTAGGAGGGCAAGTAGGGCTATTGCTGGGACATAGGTCAGGGTGTCCGCACGAGTTCCCAAGTGTGTGGGATTCCCTGGGAGCAGGTGGCTGTGTGGGCCCACTGAGGCACCCACACCAGCACCTGTGAGGCAGTGAGCCCACAGGACTCACCTGGAGAGGTGTTTTTTTCCAGTGCTCAGTGGCCCTGTCTGTTCTCCATGAGACAAGCTGCTTTGAAGCCCCAGACCGGAAGGAGGCAGTCCTGGGGGGTTGTTATTAAGACAGGATGTCAAGGAGGGGTCACTGCACACCTCATCCCCCACAAGCCTGACCACAGCCCCCAAGGTAGCATCAGAAGCAGCCCCAGACACTGTCATCAAACCCATTTCTCAGAAAAAAAGCTATTTCTATTAAATTGGTCACCACCAGGTGGACCAGACCTGTCCCTTTATTAGTGGCTCTGCCAGTGACTCCCTCACCCAGACTCCTAGGGCCATGGCAGAGCACCCCTCCCACTGCCTACACCCTCGGAGACTATTCAGGAGGGGAGCAAGTCAGATCAGGGTCCCCTTTCACCTCTCCTTCCTTGACCCTGCCAGGACATGCCGGTTTGTCCAGTGTGTCCAAGCCCTAGGAGCTCTGCCCTTGGCAGTACGCGGCAGCTGGCAGTGCCTGGGATGTTGTGTCCCTAACTCAATTTGAAGACCCTTTGGACTGCCCTCTGTGGTGTTTTTGTCCTCCATTCTCCCCCTCCAAGCCTAGGCAGCAGGCTGTCTTCAAGGGCAGGCTCCCATCCCAGACTCTCCTGGGTGGCCCCAGGTCCCAGTTCAAGGGCAGAGTGGACCTGCAAAGTCCAAATCCTGCCTCCACCCATCCCTGGGAGAAAGACCGTGTGGGTTGGGGATGGGGTCAGCATCCTGACTTAGGGAAATGTGGATGGACACTTGCCACCTGCCAGGGAAACAACCTCCGGTGATGGAGGAGACAGTCAGGGGTAGGTGTTCCTCTGAGCACAGCCCCTTCCCAGGAGAGCTGGGTCACAGTCCCTGGGTGGGGAGGGCTCTGTATCTCCTGCTCTTGCCCAAGCAGATCCAGATTACCTCCTAGTACCCGTGGGCAAGGCCTCAACTAGCTGACCCCCCAGAGCATGGTCACAGTCCCTGGGTGGGGAGGGCTCTGTATCTCCTTCTCTTGCCCAAGCAGATCCAAATGACCTCCTAGTACCCCTGGGCAAGGCCTCAACTAGCTGACCCCCCAGAGCAGTCAACATAGTCCCATTCTTGCCCCCACCCAGAAGGGCTTGGTATATTGACTCCATGGCCCAAGTCACGGGGGCATTGTGGTGTGATGGAAAACATTAACTGAGGGCCTCCTTGGCGAGGACAATGGGGGTGAGGGAGGCTTGGTCTAATTGTCTCTCCATTTCTGCCCCCATAGCAGGCCCTCACCCCCAGCGTGTGAGATTCCACCTATTTGGCATGTCAATATGTTATGGGTGGCTGAAAGGGCATTTGAAAACATCAGAAAAAGTCCCAAATATGCCAGCAGCAGAGGTCATGCCCAGAAGTGCCAGGAAAGGAGCCACCTCTCAAAGCCCCACAGCCACCCTATGGTGCCCACTCCCATTTCTCTGCTCCCCCAGAGCCTCAGGGTGAACTGAAATCCAAATAGCAGTCGGGAAAGTGGGGATCACGGGAACATGTGCAGGCTAACAGCCAGGAGAGAAAAGAGGTGCCCCAGCCCCTCGGAAGCTGTTCCCACTAACCTGTCTCAAGACCAGCCTCATCTGACCACTGATCCATTCATAGCATTTATTGAGAGCTGACTGGGCGCCCAGGGTTGGGGAGGGAGGGCAGGTTGTCCCGGGGTCACCTCCTTCCTCACAGGGCTCTTTTGATCGTGTTTCCAGGCGCTGCTCCCTCATTCAAGGCCCAGGCTGGGGGAGGGGCTCAGGGGAGGGTCCTTGCCTGATGCATCTTCCCTGAAATCCAGCCTTCAAGGAGTCCCCAGGCTTGGGGAAGACAGCATCCCGGGCGTCCTCCCGCACCTGCCCTCTAGGCAGAATTGGAGGGGCAGCAGGAAGAGGGCGAAGGTCCCGACGACTTCCTGGCACCTTTGGAACCTGAGTTTCAAAAGCGGAGGGGGGAGGAGAAAAACAATAATAGGCGATGATTCATGTGGCCAAGTACCAGTTCAAGGCTGTCAGGGCTCTGGCGCCACCCAGAGGCTGGTTGTGGAACAGCACCCAAATCACATTCCTAGACCAAGTCAAGCCCAGATGAGACCCAGAAACGGACACAGCGCAAAAACCCCCCACTCCGTCCTGCGGTGCTGCCCCCTCGTGGCCGTAGGGCCTGGGGACCCCGTATTTGTGATACCTAGAGTGTTACCAGGGAGGCCGGCGTCCCGCAGCCCTTTTGCGCCAGGGATGTCCAGGAAGAGGGCGAAGGTCCCGACGACTTCCTGGCACCTTTGGAACCTGAGTTTCAAAAGCGGAGGGGGGAGGAGAAAAACAATAATAGGCGATGATTCATGTGGCCAAGTACCAGTTCAAGGCTGTCAGGGCTCTGGCGCCACCCAGAGGCTGGTTGTGGAACAGCACCCAAATCACATTCCTAGACCAAGTCAAGCCCAGATGAGACAGAGAAACAGCGCAGCCCTAACTGGTTTGGCTCAGTGGATAGAGCGTCAGTCTGAGGACTCAAGGGTCCCAGGTTCGATTCCGGTCAAGGGCATGTGCCTTGGCTGTGGGCACATCCCCAGTGGGGGGCGTGCAGGAGGCAGCTGATCGATGTTTCTGGCTCTCTATTCCTCTCCCTTCCTCTCTGTAAAAAATCAATAAAACATATTAAAAAAAAAAAAACAGCGCAAAAACCCCCACTTCGTCCTGCGGTGCTGCCCCCTCGTGGCCGTAGGGCCTGGGGACCCCGTATTTGTGATACCTAGAGTGTTACCAGGGAGGCTGGCGTCCCGCAGCCCATTTGCGCCAGGGATGTCTCCCTAACCCTTCACTCCATACCCTGGGAGGTGAGTGTTCCTGCTCCCTCAGAATTAAGGGGGAAAAGGAAGATTCTGACACCATCATCTCATGTGTCCCCTCATGTGTCCCCTCAGCTTCCTGCCACCAAATTGGACCTCACTGAACCGCACAGGGATACTGACTTCTTCTGGAGGCAAGCTCGCTCTTTCAAAATGTTCACTTTGCAGCTGCGGGGACAGGCTGGGATCCTCCTTCCCGCTCACCACGCTCAAGGAGCTCAGTCTGATGGGAGGCAGTCCCCACCCGCAGTACCCATCAGAACCCCTTCCCGTGCCCTGGCCAGTGTGGCTCGGTTGGTTGGAGGGTCCCCACATACACCAAAGGGTGGTGGGTTCCATTCCTGGCTGGGGGTCCAGCCAGGTTGTGGGTTTGACCCCCAGTCGGGGTGTGTGCAGGAGGCAACCAGTCGATGTTTCTCTCTCACATTGATGTTTCTTTTTGTCTCTCTCACTCTGCCTTCCTCTCTCTAAAATCAATAATTAAAAAAAAAGAACCCCCTCTATGGGCTGACTACCCCAGAAAGTCGCTGAAATGGATCTGTCCTTAAAACCCCACTGGAGCTGAGGTCTTTTGCATCTATCAGAACCCCTTCCCGTGCCCTGGCCAGTGTGGCTCGGTTGGTTGGAGGGTCCCCACATACACCAAAGGGTGGTGGGTTCCATTCCTGGCTGGGGGTCCAGCCAGGTTGTGGGTTTGACCCCCAGTCAGGGTGTGTGCAGGAGGCAACCAGTCGATGTTTCTCTCTCACATTGATGTTTCTTTTTGTCTTCTCACTCTGCCTTCCTCTCTCTAAAATCAATAATTTTAAAAAAAGAACCCCCTCTGTGGGCTTACTACCCCAGAAAGTCGCTGAAATGGATCTGTCCTTAAAACCCCACTGGAGCTGAGGTCTTTTGCATCTATTCTGATAACTGCTGTCATTGAAGCCCAAGCTACTCAAAGCCTGCATGGTCTGTGGCCTGGCAGCGTGGCCACCTCCTGGGGAGCTGCTTAGAAATGCAGCTGCTCAGGCCTCACCCCAACAAACTTGTGAAGTGAGACCCACATTTGATGAGCAAGATCAGAGTGGGGGGCCATGCAGGTGAGGAGACTGGGCTTGGACCTCGGGGAGGCTCCAGGGCAGCTCGCGCCTAAGCTACAGCCCCCTGTGCTCTACGGGGCTGCCCCCCACACAGGAAACTCCCCTACAGCCTGACCTTTCCCTGGGCCCTGGGCCATTCCCTCTTACCTGCCTCGGGCTACAGCCCCCTGTGCTCTACGGGGCTGCCCCCCACATAGCAAACTCCCCTCCAGCCTGACCTTTCCCTGGGCCCTGCCCTTCCCTCTTACCTGCCTCGTACACCTCTGCCTGGAGAACCAGCCGCTTTCACCACTCTCAAATCCACCCCTAGGTCCACCCGCTTAGCCACACTCTTAACACGCATACCTGGTCTTGCCACTTCTGTGGGTCCCTGCTGCCCAAGTCCAAGCTCTTTAATGTGACCCACAAGGCCCTACAGGCCCTTCGGCTTGTCCCCAAGTCTCTGACACCTCCCCCTCCACCACACAATCACACACTCCCCATCCCTAAGTTCCTGAACAAGCCCCAATGCCTGGCCACACTTCCAGCTCTCCACCAAACTGAATCAGGCTTCCTGAGGTCCCTTCCTCCAGGAAGTCCTCCTGAGTCCCCTTATCTGGATCAGGTACTTCTCTAGATTCCCCCATTCAGCGCCTATCACCCTGTTTTTTAACTGCTGCTCTCCCATCTATCTTGTTCACCACTAACCCAGCCCAGCACTTGGCATAGAACAGGCACACAAACTATTAGCAAATGAGTAAGAAATAAGGAAGCTAGGGTTCAGAGAGTCTGAGCAACTTCTCTCAGAGCACACAGCTCCTCAGAGCTACCCACTGTCAAGCCCTTGCTGTGCCCATCCCCAGATCCCACTGCTTGCTAATCCCCATGGCTTCCATGCCAGGTCGCCTGTGCCTGGGAAAGGATGGCATTTCCCCCAAGGGCCCAGAGAGGGAGAGTCCCTTTCCCAAGACGGCAGAGCAAAGTCAAGCTCCAGCTGACCCACCTGGGCAACACTTCTAGAATACTAAGGTTCCTACGCAGATTCTCTACCCCAACCCTCTGAGGTGGGTACTGGGGTTAATCCCACTTAACAAAGGCATGCCCCCTTCACAGTGGACTTCCCCAGCCACCTGCACTGGCTCCTCCTCCTCTACGGTGACTGGAGTCCTGTGTCCTCGCCTTGTCAGACCGAGCCAACTTCTTGCCTGCAGAGTTGCGGGTGGTGTAGCTGTAGACAGAGGTGTAGCCTTGGCCGGTGAGTGGGCAGAAGCGGCGGGTGTGGGCTCGATCTCTAGTGGCACCGCACTGGGGGCACACGTAGTCTCGAAGGATGGGGCACAGCACCCGGCCCGCCTCGTCCTTGAGCACGTGGGACTGGTAGATGGCCCGGGACTCGCCGTTGTGTTTGCAGAAAGAGCACAAGCGTTCTGGAGCTGGTGAGGGTTCTGGGCTGAACCTCGGATCCCCTGGTCCTGGCACTGGTTCTGGCTGGGGGTCCAGCCTGGTCTCAGGCTCTTCTTCCCCACGCAGAGCCCCCACCAGACGTGCCAAACCCAGGTAATCTGTCCACAGGTCGAAGGTCCCCATGGCTGGGCAATGTGTGCCAGGCGTTGGGGCAGAGAGAGGAGAAACCCTGCCTGCCCCAAGCTCGTCCTTCTCCACTTCCTCCCTGCCCCTCCCTTCCCCTCTCTGGAGCCTAGGAGTCTGGGCTGTCAGTTCCCTCCTCATACCTCCAAGGGATTGTGAAGGGGGAGGAATAGCCTGTGGGAGACTTCTTATTGTCACAGGGGGGCTAGCTGCTGCTCCCTGTAAATGCACCTGCCAAGGAGATGTTTGGTCTCTGAGTGGGGCAGGGGGATACAGGACACAGTCTGCAAGGGGCACCTGCAATTTAGAGCCACATACCCCACCCAGAGAGTGTTTGGAGGGCTACCCCCAACCCCTCCTCTCAGGAGGCCTGCCACCC